ATGAACACGTTTTTCACAAGCATTTGGACCTAAATCGTCGGAGACGTATTTTTGTCGTCTGATATAAAATCGCCGTTTCCTTATATGACGTGTACACACGTCGTCCACCGCTAAAAGGTCAAAAATAATACAAAGTTGAATTTATTTAAGCGGTCAAACAATTTTATAACAAAGTCTGCTTGAATTAGGGAATCTGTTCAATCGTTTCCTACAGAAGAATCTCAGTAACGTCGACGATCTTAAAATAAAAAAAAAAGAACGTACAACCGGTCGAAATGACCGTCGTGGTGGATTCGGTGTTAAAGAACGCGTTGTGATTTTAGAACAGAATTTATTGCGAACGGGCACACTTACGAGAACTCGTACGTCCGCCGTTGTAAACAAGAGACGATAAAAAGATCTTGACAGAGGTGCGCGATCGATAATATGCACGCCGTAAGAAGGGCATCGCTCGGAGACGATGTACACTAATTGTTACTTTTCGGTAGCGATCACTTCATTATCGACACCGAGTACAGTCGTGATAAAGATCAGAAAATATAGGGACTGATTTGAAAGGATCAAGTTGACCTTTAGATATCCTTTATACGAATGGAAACAAAAATTGTTAATACCACGTAAAATACCTTTTCATACGGAACCGCTTTTGTATCAACATTTTTTTCGTAGCTGCAACCCGTTCCGAGAGATTTCACTGTATTTAGTTAAACGTAACATCCTGGATGCGTTGCTTGCGGCAGATGTTACAATAACGCTCGTTCAAAATAGCAATAAGTGTCTTATTATTGACTTTGGAAACTAATATAAAACGGCTGCTTTTATAAATTAATGTAAAACTTCTGCTTTTGTAAACTAATGTAAAACTGCAGTTTTTCTAAACAAATACGAAACTTCTGCTTTTGTAAACTAATGTAAAACTGCAGTTTTCCTAAACAAATACGAAACTTCTGCTTTTATAAACTAATGTAAAACTGCAGTTTTTTTCTAAACAAGTGCAAAATTTCTGCTTTTGTAAACTAATGTAAAACTACAGTTTTCCTAAACAAATACGAAACTTCTGCTTTTATAAACTAACGTAAAATTGCAGTTTTCCTAAACAAATACAAAACTTCTGCTTTTGTAAACTAACGTAAAATTGCAGTTTTCCTAAACAAATACAAAACTTCTGCTTTTGTAAACTAACGTAAAATTGCAGTTTTCCTAAACAAATACAAAACTTCTGCTTTTGTAAACTAATGTAAAACTGCAGTTTTCCTAAGCAAATACGAAACTTCTGCTTTTATAAACTAATGTAAAACCGCAGTTTTTCTAAGCAAATACAAAACTTCTGCTTTTATAAACTAATGTAAAACTGCAGTTTTTCTAAGCAAACACAAAACTTTTGCTTTTGTAAACTAATGTAAAACTGCAGTTTCTCTAAACAAATACAAAACTTCTGCTTTTGTAAACTAATGCAAAACTGCAGTTTCTCTAAACAAATACAAAACTTCTGCTTTTATAAACTAACGTAAAATTGCAGTTTTTCTAAACAAATACAAAACTTCTGCTTTCATAAACTAACGTAAAACGACCGCTTTCAGAAGCCCGATACTTCCCAGATCCGAGTTGCACGACCATCTTTACACCGATGTCAAGAAGATGGCCAATAGAATAGGCCCAACAACGGTACAATCGATATCATTGTTTTAGCCCAACAGCATCGAGTCTTCGATGATTTTTACTGGGATCAATGACAAGGCGGACAGAGAGACCGTTTGGAGACGGCGCTGACATAGGTGGTAACCGATTTTTCTGGCGATTTCTCTCGTGATTTTTTGGATCCCGAGTGCTGCTCCGCAAGGAGCCGAGGAGGTTCGAAGGGAGGATCCGATATCGAAAGGTCCGCGCGGTGTGTGGCGCGGGGAGGATCGCCGGTCAGCGTAGAAATTGCGCGCTGGCTGCTCGATAAGGAGCCAATTACATTTTAGCCGATGCTATCATTCCGCCACCAGCCGCGATAGCGCCGGCAAACTAATTGGCCGCGGCAGAAAGGAGATTCAGCGGCGATAGCCGTGCGAATTACAGAAAAGAAAGGAGGGTACGGAAGCGGGACGCGAGCGAGCGAGCGCGAGTGAGAGAGAGAGAGAGAGAGAGAGAGAAAGAGAGAGAGAGAGAGAGAGAGTACGCCCGGGAGAAAGAGGGGCGAGCAGGGCCAGGGGGTAGAAAGTACCCTGGGAGCAAGGAATATCAGTTCTCTAGTTTCGTTGTCCTATCTCCGGCGCGCATAATCGCCGGCGAAAAGAAAGCCTAGCGAGCGCAATTTCAAAGTTCGAGGCTCGTTTGGCGGGCTGCCAGCGCTCACGTAACTAACTACTTGTTTTGCCAACGGTGCTGCCTGCCTCCCCCGCGTCTAGCTCTCCTCGACCGTCTCTCTCTCTCTCTCTTTCTCCCTCTCTCTCTCTCTCTCTCTGCGTCCTCTGTTCTCTTGTCTGCACTAGCCAGCCGGCTGATCCTCGATTTTCGAAAAAGCTTAACACCTCGACCACCGCGGACGGATCAGCATTCGACCACGTGCACGGCGACGGACGCGCCTGCGTGCCCCCAGCCTCGAGACCTTACACGGAAATTTCTTCTCTCAGTCTTCCCGTGCCCACCAGTTGGCACGATGGCCCGACCGGTCGCCGAAATGCTCCCTGGGGTCCGCGGACCCGACCCCGACCTGCCCTGACACTTGTGTGTCACACACCGAGGAAACCAGAAATCCTCTGCATCGAAGAGACACCCCACTTTCAAGACCCCCGGTTTTAAACACTGGTGCCTCGAAGACCCCCTGTGGCAAAGACGCCTACATCGAAGGCAACCTATTTTAAAGACCACGTACACGTTATAAAGGCCCCAAGGATTCGGATGTTAATGGGCCCGTGGACTGTAGGACTCGCATATGTTAATGGCCCCATGGTTTTCAGACACCTATGCTAAGGACTCCCCCGGTGTTCCCGTATGTCAACAGCTTCATGGTTTTAAGGACACCTACGTTGAGGACAACCTGTTTCAAAGACTCGTGTGTAGAAGGTCCAATGTATTTAAGAGACCTGTGTTAATGACCTGACTGTTTTCAAGACCCGTACGTTGAGGACACCCTGTTTTAAACACCCGTACGTCACCGGCCACATGTATTTAAGAGTCGTACGTTGAGAATTGCCGGTTTTAAAGACCCCCGTACGTCAACGGCCCCGTGTATTTAAGGCAGATACGTTAAGGACTGCCTGTATGTCAAAGTTCTAAGGCACCTACGTTGAGAACACCATGATTTAAAGACTCGTGTGTCGAAGTCCCCGATGTTCTTAAGAGATCTACGTTAAGAACCCCGTATTTCAAACGCTCACACCTCAAAGGTCGCCTGTTTCAAAGACTCTCACGTCGGAGTCTCTCTATTTTAAAGACCCCTACGTTGATCACCCCCTGTTGTAAATACTCGCACGTTGAAAACACCCGGTTTTAAAGACTCGTACGGCCTAATACACTATGTTTTTAAGACACGTAGGTTTCAGGGCCCCGTTTCGAAAGATCTGTTAGCCCGAATACCTCTACCGTAAAGACTCCAACGTTGGTTGGTTCCCCAATGTTACAAACTCCTCCGTTCGGGACCCCCTATTAAGGCCCTAAAGGTTTGTCTGTCGGAGACTCCCCATTTCAAAGACTCCTACCTCGAAGACTGCCCTATTTCGAAGCCTCCTATCTTAAAGACCCCGAATTTTAAAGAGATCCCCCAGATTAAAGACGTCCTACCTAAAGGATCGCCGGTTTTAAAGAACACCTACGTTAACATTGTCCTACCGAAAGGACCCTCGATGTTCAGCTTATCAAGACGCAACGAATATTTCCTAACGAGCGAACGATCGAATAAGGGGATCTGTTAGATCCAGCGCGGCTTACCTGGATACACGGCATGCGTGTGGACGGTAGCGGTGACGGCCACGTTAATATCCCTTCGGGCCTGGGCCTTTGCCCGCTGGGCACGGAACAACAAAACAAACCACAAACCCGCACAATCTGATCAGGCACACCTCGAACGACACAATTCCCTCGATCCCGTTGATCATCGATGGTCTCGTCGCGCAGGTCGGTCAGCTGTCAGAGGCCGCTGTCATAGAGCGGACCGTTGCCGGTGGCAAAGGCCCCGATGGCAGGCAGGCCCGTTGATCAGCTCCCTATCACCGTCGATGTCGGCCCGAGTTGGAGACTTTCGGTGCTTAGCCCCGAAAGCCCGCGTCTTCCACGTCGAATTATTGATCTTAACCCTGCGCTTCTGGTACCGCGAGTCTAACTGCTGCGATGCCGCAGGGTTGATTCAGGCTCGGTCCGGTGCCGCTCGGGGCTGCGACGCGAAGGGGACACTGTCCCGCGGCTGGCGTCCGGCTGAAAGGTAGTCTGCCGGTGACAGTCAACAGTTCCATGCCACTGTCTCGGGCCTCGGGTGCCGGGCGGCTGAGAAAACCTTGATAGAAGCACTGCAGCACCTGTCGCGGAGTCGAGAGCCGGTCGCACTGGGAGAGCCCCTGATCGCGGGGTTATACTAGGGAACGCTCGCGGAACGGAGCGCTGTCAGAAATAAAGGGCCGAAGATCGCGGACGCGAGCACACCGCGCGACACTCCGAACTCGTACGAGCCACGACACGAACCGCACGGCACGACGGCAGACGAGCGAGTGGGGCTTCCGAGCTTCCCCCCTCCCTGCTACGAGCCGTGCAGCGGAGCCGAGAGAGCGCGCCGAGTGGGAGAGCGGATAGGCCGCGAGCCTGGGCGGCCGCGGGTCGGAGGGGCGCGCCGCGGCAGCATAGCGGTGGGGGTAAGCTCGCGGCCGCGGTGGGGGCTCCGCGAGCGGGGCGCCGGCGGCGGGGGACGCGCGGGCTGCGGACCGATCCACGGAAAGGGCGCGCGAGGGTGGGGGAAGGATAGATGGACGTCAGGGGCGTGAGTGAAGGAGGGGCATCGATAGCGCCCCTCGGTCGCCCTACCTCGCCGGTGCGGTGCAGGGAGCGCGGCTCCACACTCCACGCGACTTTGCGAGTGAAACATTTCGCGGGTTTCGCGGACGCTGGGCGTGGGATGGGGTTCCGCCGGCCGGAGGGGGAATGGAAGGGAAACGTAGTGAGGGAAGACAACAGTATTCCCGTTAATTGAACGACTCTCGTGGAGAACGAGAGGGGTGGCTGCAAGACGAGGAGGCCCGGGACGCAGGGGGGCAGGATTACTCGCAGTAATTACTTATTTTTATTACGCTCCGCCTCTCTGCTTTCCCCCTCCCACCGCCTCGCCCGCGCCCCGTTGTCCTCCCCCCGTTGCTGCTCCGTGCCCGCACACTCCGCGACGGCCAAGACGACGATGACGACGTCGACAACGAGAATGACGACGACGACGTGGACGACGACGACGACAGCTGAGCCGTGCTTGCGGTGGTCAGTGTTATTAAGCTGCCGCTTTTTTCTCCCGGTATCCGCGCCGTTCGCGCGCCCCTGCACCTTCTGTCTATCCGTCGTCGGCGGTTCGACTTTCGCGAATCATTCTCGCCGCGCGACACGGATTCCTGAATGTTCCAGGGAACGGTCGCCGCGGTAACCGCGCAAGTGAAAGAACACTTTCAGCTAATTGAACGACCACCGTCCCCGGGAATCCAGAATGGTGGCCGATTACTCCCAGTAATTACTTATTTTTATTACTTTCAGCCTCTTCGCCCCGCCCCTCGCCCCCCTCGCGCGGGCTCGCTGTCGCTCGCGCAACGTCACTTATCGCTGGCCAACCACGAGCACCGCTGCTCCCCACGGATCGGACCATATTTCGTCCCAGATGTCTTTGATGCGTATCAAACCGAACGCTGGCCTACCGGAGAGCGCAGATCTCCGCGACTAATTATCAACCGCGACCGAATCCTGCCCGACCGTGGACCTCCGTCCCCATCGCGTGCACGAAAGGAGCGAGGATCGTGCCGGGCTGGGCCGAGCATTCTTACCTCGCTGTTGATCTTGCCCGATGAAACACAAACACCTGCCAGGTAAATGGACAATTCGTTTCGCCGCCGAACCTCGAGTAAGACAATCTCGGCCGCCGACGCGTATTGATTGCGACCACGCGTGCACACGCGGCTGCAACCGCACTCCCTCGATTCCGATCGATATTATCCTTGCGCCACTCGTTCCTTTCATTTCGAGGGGTCGCCGTATTTGCAACATCGTTGCGCGATTGTTTTTTCATCTCTCTTCAAATTCGATTCGTTGCATCGTATTTTGTTGCCGGATTCAAGTTTTACAAACGATGTTACAACGAATTTTATTATAGAAACAATGTGGCAAAGCTTCGCATTTTTGGTAACAAGGTTGCAAAAGCTCCATTTTGGAAGCAGTGTCGCGAATCTTCCGTCTTTTAGCAACAAATGCTAAATGTTGTAAACGGAATTTCGCGATGGAAACAATGTTGCGAATCTTCGTTTCTTTTAGCAACAATATTGCAAAAGCGCCATTTTGGAAGCAGTGCCGCGAATCTTCTGTCTTTTAGCAACAATCGTTGCTAAAAGTCGTAAATGAAATTTTGCGTTGGAAACATCGTTGCAAAGCTTCGTTTCTTTTAGCAACAATATTGCGATAGATTTCGTTTTTAAAAAGAGAATGTTGCGAATTGATATTTCTTTAGCAACAAAGTTGCAAGGTCTTCTTTCTTGCACAATTGTGTTGCAAAAACGTTTAATTCTATTGTTCTCTTTAAATTTGTTGCTTCGTTCTTAACTTACGTACTAAGTAAATCTAGTAAATCTTTTGCATGAAATATTGCATAAATATTGCGATGTAATGTTAAATTACAGATTTCGATCCTGTGATAAAAAGTATTCCAGACTTTGAAATATTTCTACACTTTTCAATAATTGCAAAAATTGTTGCATAATAATGTTTACCATCAATTATGATCTATGACGTTAAACCATAAATTTGCAGTATCTGTCAATAAACATTTGAGAGTTCGAAACATTTGTACAGTCAATAATTGCAAAAATTGTTGTATAATAATGTTTACCATCAATTATGATCTATGATGTTAAACCATGAATTTGCAGTATCTGTCAATAAACATTTGAGAGTTCGAAACATTTATACAGTCTTTAATAGTTGCCAAACTGTTATACGGTAATGTTTAACAACAATTAAGTAACAATTGACGTTGAATAATATTTTTATACGAATGTTCGACTAAATATTATGATTTGATGTTAAATAAC